GGGGGGGTCATATACACAGCTGTAAACCTGAAATAAAAATAAACGTTCTTTCCCTTTAAAACATAACAAATGGCTGAAGTCCAGCTTATAATATTTTCCAGACAATCCCATATTTACTTTTATTGCTCACTGGTCTGGCCGGATTACGCGGAGTACAAAGATCACCTTTTCAATCAATCTCCTGTACAATCGGATTCTTTTTAATCAAAAGCCGAAATATATTTCGTTTTAGTTTTGGACGGTGCAGAGAACCCCTGTTGGGTTTTCATTGGTGTCCGGGCCCACGCGGGGAAGGTTCTCCGTCTGTCCCGCTTGACCATTGTCACTGGGAGAAAAAAAAAATGATGGAAAATCCAAAATGTTACCACCGGGACAGGAAGTGAGGGGAAATATTTCCAATGGGGACACCCGGTGACAACTTTCTATGAGAGGATGTCCTGTCATTTTTGAAGAGATTTCCTCTAAATTCTCATTGTGTCTCCGGGACAGGAAGTGAGGGGAAATATCCCCCGCAAAAGGACACAGACGGCAAAGAGACCTCAAAGGAGTCCCCTGCCGATCCCTTCTCCAATAAAAGAGAAATTGACAAACTTTACAGTACACCTGAACTCAAAAAGTGAAGATTTGCTACCTTGTAGGGAACACTGAGAAATGTTAATTGAGTACCTTAAAAAAAACGAACAGTGCACTTCCTGTGCCTAGGCACTCGTTTTATATACTTCCTGTACCTAGGCACTCTCCTGTTCTGTGCACTTCCTGTGCCTAGGCACTCGTTTTATATACTTCCTGTACCTAGGCACTCTTGTTCTGTGCACTTCCTGTACCTAGGCACTCCTGTTCTGTGCACTTCCTGTGCCTAGGCACTCGTTTTATATACTTCCTGTACCTAGGCACTCATTTTATATACTTCCTGTACCTAGGCACTCCTGTTCTGTGCACTTCCTGTGCCTAAGCACTCGTTTTATATACTTCCTGTACCTAGACACTTGTTCTGTGCACTTCCTGTGCCTAGGCACTCGTTTTATATACTTCCTGTGCCTAGGCACTCCTGATAGCAGTTACTTCCTGTGCCTAGGCACTCCTGTTCTGTGCACTTCCTGTGCTAGGCACTCCTGATAGCAGTTACTTCCTGTGCCCAGACACTGCTGTTCTGTAGCCTATATCTGCAGTGTGAGATCATCTATAGCAGCCATTCTTAACCTCAAAAATTTTGTGGTGGGTGGACTGTGATGTAACGGGGGAACTTGGATGTGAAGGGGGGACGGCTTATGATGTGAAAGGGGGACTCCTAATGCACAGGGCGACTCTGATGTGAAGGGGGGGATCTTGATTTGAAAGGGGCACTTTGACGAGAAGGGGAAGATCCATTTTTATGTGTGTCTTTGCGTGGGGTCCCCCTTGAAATCGATGACATTTTAGACTTCGAGATTTTGCACACCACTGTGCTGCTCGCTGTTCTCCTCGCTGGAGGGGAAGCTGTACCTGAGGACCTGCAGTACAAGTATCTCCCTGCTTCTGTATTAATCATTCTGTAGACCAA